TCCGACCCTTTAAATAGCCGCCGGCGCCCCCGGCTGCTGCTGCTACCCCAGGGCTCCGGCAGGCTCCAGCGGCTATTTAAAGGGCCCGGGGCGGTAGCAGCGGCCAAGCCCTGGGCCCTTTAAACTGCTTCCAGAGCCCCTGGCTGCCGCTGCTACCCCAGCAGGGGAGGGGGAGGGCACTTACCAGTACAGGGTTGGCCAGGGCTGGCTCTGACCCCCCCACATCCCCGCCCCTTCCGCCCAAGGCCCCACCCCTTCCAGGGGGCAGAGCCGGCCCCAACCCAGCCCTGTACCGGTAAGTCCCTATTTCTACTTTCACCCCTGGACTTATCAGTCCTCATCCACAAAGGAAACCTGCACAACACTTTCAAAAGACAAGGCTGGGAACTTAAATTCATAAGTTTGATAGACACTAAAACTCATGGTCTTAATAAAGACACTGATTTATGGCTTTTTAAAATAACCTGTAACCCATTTACCAACCCCCCCCCCCCGAACTGCTTCTTCCCCCTTTCCTCCCTATGACTGGACTGGTGTTAATGGGCCACTTCATCTTGAATGGTCCCTTGTTAACTACTTATGCTAAACAATCTTTTTCATCTTGTATTTAGCTGTGACACTCTGAGTAAGTTTCCCAGACCTGAAGATCTCTGTGTGGCTTGAAAGCTTGTCTCCCTCACCAACAGAAGTTGATCCAATAAAATATATTACCTGACCCACTTTGTAAGTTTTATGACATTTCTGAAACTTTTCTTCTAGTCAACAGTCTTGACAATTACAAATTTGAATTTGCATCAGCACTTCAATAATCCTTAACTATTTTGAATATTGACCATCAGTTTGTGAGTGGTTTTGGCCTGATGGACACTTAAGATGAGATACTACGCTAGAAGAGATCCGCCCACTTATTAATTCTTCCATTTCCGACCTCATGTGAATACTAATCTACTGTTGATCGAGGCACAAAGAAAGACAAGTCTTGCCCGAGAGGTTATACTCATAAGGGATCTTTTCCAATTCTCTCTAACTGACATGCAAAGCTCTCTACCAAATAAGAGTAATCTGATTGGAGCTGACCGAGATATCTGAGCCATTAGTGATTATCTTCAAAAGTCACGGAAGATGGGAGAGATTCCAGAGGACTGGAAAAGGGCGAATATAGTGCCAATCTATAAAAAGAGAAATAAGGACAACCCAGGGAATTACAGACCAGTCAACTTAACTTCACTAGCCTGGAAAGATAATGGAGCAAATATTTAAGCAATCAATTAGCAAACATCTAGAAGATAATAAGGTGATAAGTAACAGTCAGCATGGATTTGTCAAAAACAAATCGTGTCAAACCAACCTGATAGCTTTCTTTGACAGGGTAACAAGCCTTGTGGATAGTGGGGAAGCGGTAGACGTGGTATATCTTGACTTTAGTAAAGCTTTTAATACTGTCCCACATGACCTTCTCATAAACAAACTAGGGAAATGCAACCTAGATGGTACTACTATAAGGTGGGTGCAAAACTGGTTGGACAACTGTTCCCAGAGAGTAGTTATCAGTGGTTCACAGTCATACTGGAAGGGCATAACGAGTGGGCTCCCGCAGGGATCAGTACTGGGTCAGGTTCTTTTCAATATCTTCATCAATGATTTAGATAATGGCATAGAGAGTATACTTATAAAGTTTGCGGACCGTACCATGCTGGGAGGGGTTGCAAGTGCTTTGGAGGATACGATTAAAATTCAAAATGATCTGGACAAACTGCAGAAACGGTCTGAAGTAAATAGGATGAAATTCAATAAGGATAAATGCAAAGTACTCCATTTAGGAAGGAACAACCAGTTGCACACATACAAAATGGGAAATGATTGCCTAGGAAGGAGTACTGCGGAAAGGGATCTGGGGGTCATAGTGGACCACAAGCTAAATATGCATCAACAGTGTAACGCTGTTGCAAAAAAAGCAAACATCATTCTCGGATGTATTAGCAGGAGTGTTGTAAGCAAGACACAAAAAGTAATTCCTCCGCGCTGATTAGACCTCAACTGAAGTATTGTGTCCAGTTCTGGGCACCACATATCAGGAAGGATGTGGACAAAGTGGAGAAAGTCCAGAGAAGAGCAACAAAAAATGATTAAAGGTCTAGAAAACATGACCTATGAGGGAAGATTGAAAAAACTGGGTTTGTTTAGTCTGGAAAAGAGAAGACTGAGAGGGGACATGATAACAGTTTTCAAGTATGTAAAAGGTTGTTACAAGGAGGAGAAGAAAAATTGTTTTTCTTAATCTCTGAGGCTAGGACAAGAAGCAATGAGTTTAAACTGCAGCAAGGGAGGTTTAGGTTGGACATTAGGAAAAACTTCATTGGAGATTTTTAAGAGCAGGTTAGACAAACACCTGTCAGGGATGGTCTAGATCAGGGGCGGGCAAACTTTTGGCCTGAGGGCCACATCGGGTTTCTGAAATTGTATGGAGGGCCTCCCCAAACAGCCAGGCATGGCCTGGCCCCCGCCCCCTATCCAACCCCCCCTGCTTCTCACCCCCTGACGGCCCCCCGGGGACTCCAACCCTATCCAACCCCCCTGTTCCCTGATGGACCCCCTGGACCTTTGCCCCATCCACCCCTCCCTGTCCCCTGACCGCTCCTGGAACCCCTGCCCCTGACTGCCACTGATCCAACGCCTCCTCTCATTCCTGACTGCACCCCCGGGACCCCTACCCCATCCAACCCCCCTGTTCCCCGCCCTCTAACCATCCCGCCCCCTATCTACACCCCGCCACCTGACCACCACCCCGCACTCCCCTGTCCTCTATCCAACCCGCCCTACTCTCTGCCCCCTTACCGCGCTGCCTGGAGCACCAGTGGCTGGCGGCGCTACAGCTGCACCACCCAGAGCACCAGGACAGGCAGCTTCGCCGCCCAGCTGGAGCCAGCCACGCCACCGCGCAGCACAGAGCACCGGGTCAGGCCGCGGCTCTGCAAGAGCCTTGCTGGCCAGAGCATTGTGCTGGCGGTGCGGCGAGCTGAGACTGCGGGGGAGGGGGGAGGGGGCCAGCCTCCTGGGTCAGGAGCTCAGGGGCCGGGCAGGAGGGTCCCGCGGGCTGGATGTGGCCCGCGGGCCATAGTTTGCCTACCTCTATTCTAGAATAAAGTATGAACAATACACATGAACAACAACATGCTAACTATTTTGATACCATTATAAAAGGCGTGGAAGGAGGGAATGCAGCCGATGTAATATCTGGATTCTTGTAATGAATTTGGTAGCATCTCACAAAATAGTACTTGCAAAGTTAATTCTGATTGGCTTCAATATGAGTTGTGTTGCGCGGACACACAACGACTGAAGGATCATGAAAAAGGAAACAATAAATGGCAATGTATTAGCTGGTTGCCAGGTATCCAGTGAGCTGCCCCTGGATTGGTATTTGACCCATTTTTATACCATTACTTATTCCTGAAATAATTTGTCTAAAATCTTCCCTAAAAACCCAGCTGTTGTGGGAGAAGTGTGGAAAGGTAATGAACTCAGAGCCATTGGGTCGGTGGTGCTGGAGTGGCAGCTTGGTATGAGGCAAGAAAACTACGGGCTGCATGCATATGTGAGCAGCAACAAATAGCAGGCGGATCAGAATTGGGAACATCAGATGGAGTGGGTGGCTAGTGAAAGCAGAGGCAGTGGCAGTGATACATAGAGGGAAATGAAGATGATGTTATAAGAAGCCAGAGCAGTAGACAGTAGTACTTGTGGAAGAGGAGGAGGAGGGGAGCTGGGGAGAAGAGCAAATTACTTCAAAATGGGCGCACCACCAGCCAGACTGATGTGCAAGCTCTTTGATGGGAGAACAATCCATTCACACCACTACAGTGATGTACCAGAGTGAAACAGTTAATGAAGGAAAGGTAAACTACACATTAGGGGGCAATTTTCAAAGGCACAACGGCAGGTAAGTCTCCTAAGTCCTACTGAAAGTCTATTTGCGCCTTTAGAAATCTCCCCCTAGATCTACAGAGGATATTCAATTGGAAGGTGCTGCAAATACCAGTGAAGACAGAAAAATAATACCCAAGAGTTTTTCCACAAGCTCAAACTGCCCAAGTGTCAAATCCTCCCATTGACCCAGTCCCCTGGGAGTTCCATCATGAAGAGGGGAATGTAATTTTTGACAGATTTACAGTAATTGCAAAGGCTTCTTCTGATGGAAACTTATTTAGAAAATGGAATATCCATAGGTCTAACGTAGGCCCTTAATCATCACTGGCACCCTGTCCTGGGATTCTGCCCTGGCACTGGAATCCATGCTAGTGTGGCCCTTAGCTACATTGAAACCAGAAGCTCAGAGAGACTTAAGTAATGAGGTCACTTTGGAAATCGGACCAAAACCTCTTGCGCTATGTATAAATAACAACATGACACAGACTGACAAAGGTCTTAAAAATATGAAAGGGCAGTCTGGCAAAATAATTTCCTGGCTTTCTGTATTGTATGTCCAACTGTTACAGTTATTTTTTTTCCTTACTCAGTTTTCTTCATATTTCACTTAATTGGGTAAACATGTATTTGGAGAGGCAGTAAAGCAGTAAAAGAAATTTGCATAACAAACTGGAATACCTCCTTCAGTTCTAGAATATGGGGTCTGCAGGAAGATATTAGCGTTCTGCAAAATATCTGTCACCTTCAAAGACAGGAATAGATACTGTGAGGTGGAAGAAAAACCCTAAAAGGTGTCAGTATTTTTATTATTTGGACTTGAAGGATTGATTTAATTAACAAAAATTATTTCCCTATTGGCTGGAGGGCTTGTTATATATTAACCCAGAATGTAAATGTTACTGCTGAGTTGTGAACCATTAAAAACAACCATAGGTGTCAGCTCAAGTACAGCAAAGCAAAACACATAAGCTCTCAGGACATCTGCAGACAGAGCTTAAAAAAAACTCTTCCCAGCATTTTTCTGACTCTTAATCAGGGCAGCTACTGAAAAACTAGTGATGTGTTTAACTTACTGAGGATTTATCAGGATAGACACCAGCTCGCAGTAGGGATGCCTTCCAGCTATCCATCTCCTCCTGGGCATCACAGGCCAGCTCAAGGAAGCGATAATCCTTGTAAACATTCCTAGAACATAGAACATTACACTGTAAAATTTGAACTTTGCTACTCTGCATCACGTACACAGCATTTCAAATACAAAATCCTTCAGGATCTATAATTATTTGATAGCTTTTTGAAAGGGGAGACAAGTGACGGTCTGATAAGGACCTAAAAATGTTAATTTAAAATAATAATGGTCTGGATGCACTGTAGTTACAGAAGCTTTAGATCTATTTTAAAAATCAGGCTTTCCACACTATTAATAAACACTAGAACACATTTAGAGGCAAAATGCTGCTGGAACATAGAGGACAAAGACAGTTGTGGAAGAACTGCCAACAAAGTTGTATGGTCTCTGACTGGCAGCTGCTGTAGCCAATGAAAATCAAGATTAGTAATGAGTTTATTTTCCCCATAGTAAATCTCTCCAGTACAATACTAGTTCAGTTTCAGCTTCCGAACATCTTCAATAAAAGGAAAAATATTTAAAAATGACTGAGTTCTCAAATACAAAAGGATTCCATAACCATAAAAATACCTCAGACACACACATCATCTACTGCAGGGGTTCTCAACCTTTTTCTTTCTGAGCTCCCCCCTCCCCCCCCAACATGCTATAAAAACTCCACGGCCCACCTGTACCACAACAACTGCTTTTCTGCATGTAAAAGTCGGGGCCAGCATTAGGGGGTAACAAGCAGGGCAATTGCTCAGGGCCCCACACCACAGGGTGATGCTAAGTTGCTCAGGCTTCGGCTTCAGCCCCAGGTGGTGGGGCTTGAGGTCATGAGCTGCAGTCCCGCATGGCGGGGCTTTGGCATTCTGCCCTGGGCCCCAGCGAGTCTAATGCTGGCCATGCTTGGTGGACCCCCTGAAACCTGCTTTCGACACCCCAGGGGACCCCAGATCCCTGGTTGAGAACCAGCGACCTACTGTATGCAATTAATTTAATAACAAGGTGGATTAATTGTGTTTAGGGAGTAGCTTAATGGAAGAAAAGAGAAAAGAAAAAATACATGATCTGCAAGGCGGTTGTACTTATACATTCTCCATTAAATAGAACAGGATTTTTCCTTTATGGTTTAACCATTAATTATTACCTAATTCAATGTCTATACACAGACTAGATTGCTGTAAATTGGTCAGCCAACTGTCTTTTCAGGAAAGGCTACAAGCTTAGCTGAGCTAAATTGCGAAACCACATGTTGCTAGATCTTAATAGAGATGCAAGAATCCATTTTTAATTGCAACAAGACTGTTTTCCCTAGCACTAATGGAGCAATTTTTGGGGGGATGAAAAAGATCACTAACTCACACAGCAATAATTAGAGGTCCAAAGGCATTTTATATTAGAAGCACTCTCTCTAGCAATATATGTTACCATATTTTGAGAGAATTTTTTAGACAAACTGTGCAACCAGAAAAATATATCCAGTATTACTACTAGTTAGTCCATTTCTCTAGCATTTCAGGGACTTTGGGACTTTCACCTTTTACATATCTGGAGTACAATAGGTTTGTTATACTTCACCTTTGCCGGAGATTTTCCCTCCCCTATTAATGACAATATCATCTGAAAGACAACTAACTCCTAAGCCTGTTTTTCAGATGGTGTATTGGGAAATAGATGGGTATAAAACCTGGACATTCAGCAATAAACTACCATTTCTGTACTATCATGGGTAGTGATTCGTGTTATGCTACATTGAAGTGAAACATGCCCATATCAGCATATAGGCATACATGGCATTATTAGTGAGTTTATATATTTAATTAAAACTGCAAAAGATGATGGGTACAATCTGACTTGACTTATTCGAGATTTAAAATGGATTATTTCTTTTTCCTCTAAATATATTACACACACGAGCAGCTAAGAAATCTGGGTTATCTTAGACAGGGAGCAGAGATATCTGAATCTTATTTCATCTACACCATTTGGGAATTTGGAATCAATATGTGTAAAGTAAAGTAAATTAAAGGATATGGTGACAAGGGACAGAGAGGCTAAACAAGGCAGCTGGATAGAACTTGCTGATTTGCTGCCTGGAAACTTTTTGGTTTTAACTGTTTTAGGTAAATTAATTAGGTTGCCACAGTTACGGAAAAAAGATCAGCTAAAATGTGAGGCGGCACAAAATAAAAGCTATAAAACATGAAGATTGATGGATTCCCAGACCAGAAGGGACCTTTGTGTTCATCTAGTCTGACCTCCTGTATAACCTAGACCATACAACTTCCCCAAAGTAATTCCCACAGCCTATCTTTTAGAAAAACTTCCAATCTTGATTTTAAAATGGTCAGTGATAGAATCCACTACGACTCTTGGTAAATTGTCCCAATGGCTAATTACTCTCACCATTAAAAATTTACACTCTATTTCCTGTCGGGATTTGTCTAGCTTCGACTTCCAGCCATTGGATCACGTTAGACCTTTCTCTACCAGATTGAAGCGCCCATTATTAAACATTTGTTTTCCATGTAGATACTTATAGACTGTGATCAAGTCACCCATTAACCTTCTTTTTGTTAAGCTTAATAGATAGGGCTCTTTGAGTCTAATGCTATAAGGCAGGTTTTCTAACCCTTTAATCATTCTCTGATTAAAGGGTTAGAAAACCCTTAGAAAACATTCCAGCCACTCTTCTCTGAACTCTTTCCAATTCATCTACATCCTTCTTGAACCGTGGGCACTAGAACTGGACACAATATTCCACAAGATGGCAAGAATCAAAATATATTTCACTGCAACAGCAAAAAAACAAAACAAAAACCTAAATAAATAAAAATTAAAAAAAAAATCATACCACTAGCTAGTCAAAAATCTTTTTCAGGGCTAGAATGCCAGAGTGTTGTGTTCCTGCAATGAAAATTATTACTTTCAACATCAAATTTCACTGTATTTTAAGCAATGAATGAGAAGGGAGTGTGGGCTACTGGCTACAGCAGGAGACTGGGTCAGGACTCCTGGATTCTAGTCCAGGTGTGCTAATGACTGTCTGTGCATCCTACGGCCATGACTAAGTTATTGTACACCTCTGTCCATCCCAGGTACTTATATTACTAAGGGCTTCACAATCTTTAATTTATTTATTTATCCTCACACCATCCATGAGGTAGGGAAGTACTATTATCCCCATTTTACAGATGGGGAACTGAGGCACAAAGAGACTATCTCACCCAAGGTCACACATCAAGTTGGGGGGGCGGGGCAGGGAACTGAACCCAGGCCTCAAGGCCCATTTTAGCACACTCACCACTGGACTCTTCTAACCCTGTTCCTCAAACAGGGAAATGAGCAGCGTTGTCCAAAACCAAGGCAAAAATAACCTCTAAAGAACATCTCATGTTTTTCCGTAAGTAACAGAATCTTACAAAAAGAAACATGTTTTACATGAGCAGGTCCTCAAGGAAATCATTTTGAAGCACTTGGAGGAGAGGAAGGTGATCAGGAACAATCAATGTGGATTCACTAAGGGCAAGTCATGCCTGACCAACCTGATTGCCTTCTATGGTGAGATAACTGGCTCTGTGGATATGGGGAAAAGCAGTGGACGTGATATATCTTGATTTTAGCAAAGCTTTTGATACGGTCTCCCACAGTATTCTTGCCAGCAAGTTAAAAAAAAGTATGGATTGGATGAATGGACCATAAGGTGGATAGAAAGCTGGCTAGATTGTTGGGCTCAATGGGTAGTGATCAATGACTCAATGTCTAGCTGGCAGCGGGGTCGGTCCTGGGGCTGGTTTTGTTCAACATCTTTATTAATGACCTGGATAATGGGATGGATTACACCCTCAGCAAGTTCGCAGATGACCCTAAGCTGGGGAGAGATGTAGATTCGCTGGAGGGTCCAGAGTGACCTAGACAAATTCGAAGATTGGGCCAAAAGAAATCTGATGAGCTTCAACAAGGACAAGTGCAGAGTCCGGCACTTAGGATGGAAGAATCCCATGCACTGCTACAGGCTGGGGACTGACTGGCTAAGCAGTAGTTCTGCAGAAAAGGACCTGGGGATTACAGTGGAGGAGAAGCTGGATATGAGTCAGCAGTGTGCGCTTGTTGCCAAGAAGGCTAACGGCATATTGGGCTGCATTAGTAGGAGCACTGCCAGCAGATCGAGGGAAGTGATTATTCCCCTCTATTCGGCACTGGTGAGGCCACATCTGGAGTACTGCGTCCAGTTTTGAGCCCCCCCACTACAGAAAGGATGTGGACAAATTGGAGTCCAGCAGAGGGCAACAAAAATGATTAGAGGGCTGAGACACATGACTTAAGAGGAAAGGCTGAGGGAACTGGGCTTGTTTAGTCTGCAGAAGAGAAGAGTAAGGGTGGATTTGATAGCAGCCTTCAACTACCTGAAGGGGGCTGGGGGTTCCAAAAAGGATGGAGCTCGGCTGTTCTCAGTGGTGGCAGGTGACAGAACAAGAAGCAATGGTCTCAAATTGTAGTGGGGGAGGTCTAGGTTGGATATTAGGAAACATTATTTCACTAGGAGGGTGGTGAAGTACTGGAATGAGTTACCTAGGGAGGTGGTGGAATCTCCATCCTTAGAGGTATTTAAGGCCTGTCTTGACAAAGCCCTGGCTGGGATGATTTAGTTGGTATTGGTCCTGCTTTGAGCAGAGGGTTGGACTAGATGACCTCTTGAGGTCTCTTCCAACCCTAATCTTGTATGATTCTATGATTCTTCTATGATTCTACTCATTAAGGATCTACTGATGTCTCATGGAAAACTGAAATTTTTTTTTAAAACAATTGAAATTTTCTTTTTTTTCTTCCACCTTTTAGAATTACTAAAAATATTTGCACAGAAACAGGATATTCTTTAAGCATCATCTGTTTATTTCACATAGGATGCAATAATCTTGGGATATCACTATCATCTCAATAGCAACTAACTGATGTCATAAACTCAAGTTAATGACATCAGACAGGGGAGTATGAAGCAGGAGTAGGTGAACTTCTAAGCAACACAAATTTTGTTTATATGCAAACATTTATAGCTGTGAAGAACATGGAA